TTCTATAAATCTATGTATGTTTACTGGTTTGAGTGGACTATGTTTGCCCACTGGATTACTTACTATAGATTATATATTTTTATAAATCTATGTATGTTTACTGATTTTAGTGGACTATGTTTGCCCACTGGATTACTATAGATTATATATTTCTATAAATCTATGTATGTTTACTGGTTTGAGTGGACTATGTTTGCCCACTGGATTACTTACTATAGATTATATATTTTTATAAATCTATGTATGTTTATCGATTTGAGTGGACTGTTTGTCCACTGGATTACTATAGATTATATATTTTTATAAATGTATGTACGTTTACTGATTTGAGTGAACTATGTTTGTCCACTGGAATACTATAGATTATAATTTTTATAAATCTATGTATGTTTACTGATTTGAGTGGACTATGTTTGTCCACTGGATTACTATAGATTATATATTTTTATAAATCTATGTATGTTTACTGATTTGAGTGGACTATGGTTGCCCACTAGATTACTATAGATTATATATTTTTATAAATCTATGTATGTTTACTGATTTGAGTGGACTATGGTTGCCCACTGGATTACTATAGATTATATATTTTTATTAATCTATGTATGTTTACTGATTTGAGTGGACTATGGTTGCCCACTAGATTACTATAGATTATATATTTTTATAAATCTATGTATGTTTACTGATTTGAGTGGACTTTGGTTGCCTACTGGATTACTATATATTATATATTTTTATTAATCTATGTATGTTTACTGATTTTAGCGGATTATGTTTGCCCACTGGATTACTATACATAATATATTTTTAAGCTATATATAGTTACACTGATCTGAGTGGTCTATGTTTGCCCACTGAATTAATATATATATATATATATATATATATATATATATATATATATATATATATATATATATAATAATTCAGTGTATATATATCACTATTTTCTTTATGACTTGCAAATAAAATGGTCAAGGATTTTGATGATTGTTAACACATCAGGATGTAGCAGATTGAATTGTGAAATAAAATGATACTTGAATTAATTCTGTCTTATGTGTTATATACAACTATTTACATATATACTATGTGTATTTATATTTCTGACTTTTCGGTATGTGTTGCTGAATGGATCATGTCGAGGGATTTTATATGCCTTACGGTAGCGATTGGCAATGAAGTCTGATAGCGAGACCTGTACACCGCCTGGTACGCCGCCAAGGAGGAAGCGATGAGCTGAAAAAAAGAGAAAAGAAATCATATCTGGCAATCATATTATACATTTGAATGATATAAAAACCACATTGTCAGAAAGAAATGATTGTTGAACATATTAATATTTTTCTGAATCAATTAATTGCTATTTTTACATTAAAAAAAAGGGATTTTAGTGGCTTATGGTGTGGATTTATCAAGTTCCTATAGCTTCGTAAACACGATAACATTTGAATATATCAGTTGTTCAACTGAATCTATTTTTAAAACTCTTCATCTATCATAAAAGGCAGTTTAAGTTTATGTTTTGTTTATTCATAATTAATTTCTTTTGGTTGCTAAAAGTTAAAATTTTCGGTGTTTGAGCATCCTTGTGTGAAGTAAATAGACTGCGTCACTCGGTTAGTACGGCGTCAAACCGCCATTGTGAGTGGTTATTTTATTGGTTGTTTGCAGCGGCTCAAAAATATCGCTGTACGAATAAATACAAAATATTCGAAAAACAAATTTCTTACTATTTTGTATTATTTGATTATTATATTTTATATTACTTGATTATTTTAATAATCAGAGATTTTTATTACAATATTTTAAAAGTACAATGAATAATAGTAGTATGTACTAAAAGTAAGTAGGATTTAATATTTATAGATATAGATTCCCTTAACAATACCAATTAAGAGTTAAAATAGTAGTAGTATTAGTAGTCTGTGATAATTAATGGACACACTTTTGAAGCTTACATAGACTTCGGCAATGAATGTACACTAATGCAGAAAACTGAAGCTGAGTTTTTAGCACTACTGAAAATGTTTGACAGACTACCTGTTGTGAGGGGTTTTGGTCACTCAACAGTGACACCATTGTACAAATCATCAGACATTATTAAGATTGATGAAATGGAATCTTGTATAGAAGTTTAAATTATCGAGGATGCATTTCTTCAAACATCATCACTTATTTGACAAAAATTTAAGAGAATTACCATTTGTTACAATCTTGAAAGTAACTCCAAACTTATATTTTACAATAGTCCGGGTCAAAATGTGTTCGTTAGGAACGAAGACGTTATACGGCTTCACGTCAGCAATATGGTAGATATTTTCAAAACGGAATTTATTATAGTTCACACCTAGTTTTACAAGCCTAGTTTTACAGGGGACGTTTTTATCGAAGGTTATAACGCTATTGAGACTGGTAACGAGTATCGTCTATTTCAGGGCATATTCAATATTAGTGGTGGCAAAGGTGGTTTTAGCAAGTGGTTTGTCATCTCATGTTGCAATGCTTTCACAAGATAAGTTAATAACTCGGTCCATCCCGATCACGGAGCACACATTATGCCAAATTAACCGAACATTTAAAGAGCCCTCTAAATTAGCACCCCTTGGCGAAAACGATATTAAAACCGGATCAGATCTTGACAATCATCTATTAGATAAACTTTAATTGCTATTGCAGAGCTATCGTGATTGTTTCGCAACATGTCTGGGAGGAATGGGTTGTGTGGACGAAGTACAAATTAAAATTGATTTAATAGATAATAAGCCAATAGTTTACCGCCTATATCGTCTTTCTCATCACGAACGTCAGCAAGTTCGGGAAACCGTAGATGAACTATTGCAAAATGATATAATTCAGGAGTCAAATTCTGATTATGCCAGTCCCATTTTAATGGTCAAAAAGAAAACTGGTGAACAAAGACTTTGTGTAGACTTTAGAGCGTTAAATAATAAAACTGTTAAAGACCACTTTCCTCTTCCCCTTATTGAAGATCAAATATCTAACCTAAGTGGCAATTGCTTTTTTTTACGACTCCCGAGCTATCCATGGAGACAGATGACAACCCAAGCATTAGCGTATATAATATAGAAAAGAAAAATTGGCTTTTAACATTACAAATAGCAAACCTAGTTATATCTCGTATTTTAAAAGTTCTTAAACCTGGAGATGACCAGGAATGTAAAGATATTCAACAGAATTATGTAGTTAAAAATCATTGTATTTCTAAAAGGAAATATTAACTGTGTTTAGTTGTTCCATAGGTTGCGCTTATAATAATGATAACAAAGCTAAACGTAAATCAGGATTTTCATATCTAAAATACAAATTCCTTTTCATACCATACATATGGACCATCTCAGACCTTTTGTTAGGAATAAAGACGGTAACACGCATATTTTAACAGTAGTTGACGCTTTTACCAAATATTTGTTTGTGAGAACAATGAAAAATCTTTAGACAAAAGCACTATTAAAGTTATTGAGAAAATTTTGTATGATTTTGGTGTACCTGCTAGAATTATATCCGACCGAGGCACAAGTTTTACGTCCAAAGGCTTTAAAACCTTCTGTGATACATGTGTACCATGTGGTATCAAGCATATTTTGAACGCATTCGATTGTTCCAGGGCTAATGGACAGTCTGAAAGGTTAAACCAAACTATTTTAACTCTTTGTCAGCACAAAATTCTTTTGGTTATGAACGCGACTGGGACAAGTGTCTGGGCAAAATCCAGTGAGGTATAAATAATACTGTCAATGCAACAACCCAACAATCTGTGACAGAAGCTGTGTTTGGAGTCAAAATGCGCGACTCCTAATCAAATAAGCTCAATACTTTAGAAGGTTCCAGAACTTTAAATTTACAAGAAATTAGTGACAACATAAATGAAAATATAGAAAAAGAGCAAGCTAAACAACAAGATCAATATGATGCTAATCAGGTCCCTGCAACCAAATACGCTGTTGGTGATTCAGTCAAAATTTCCCGTAAAAATTTTGATAAAGTACAAAGCTTCTGTCAAAGTTTGTGGGTTCATGAAGTACTGGAAAACAATCTTTATAAAATAACAGATGTTCCGGGATTTTCAAGAAAAGGCAAGTTGTATACCACTGTTATTGCAGTTGATCGAATTCGACCCTGGATTCACATTAAAACATTAGAATTGTATAAATCAGATGTAAGCTCTGCCAGTGAAAATACCGAATAAGTTAAAAATTAATAAGATATTTAAAATATGTATAGATATTAGGTAATTATACTAGAAAGTATATATAACTTACGTATATTTTTTTTTCTCTCAATTATGTGCATAGTGATAAATGTTACTTGTACACTTTAAGTGCATTATAAAAATACAATGTTGATTACATAAATCTATGAATATCATGATTGCTTATTGCAATTTGTTTGTAATGCCGGGATTCTTTTATAAATTAATGTATAACTATGTAAATTATTAGTTCAAGTAGTTTCATTTTTGTTAGTTGGTAGATGAATCCGGAAACGTGTTGAGATTGGCTAAAAATAGAAACACGAGCGAGAAGGGATAGCGGGTGGGAGAGTTCTGAGAGCATTGGCGAAAGACGACAGACTTGTGGTTGTTACAAGACAAGTGTTGGCGACGCATTGTTTTTGTATGTAATATTTATTATTAATTTTATAATATGTTGTATCTTAGGTTAAGGTTTGTTTATATAGTATAATAACGGTTATTTTATAAATTATGTGTAGGTAATCTTGTATGTATTTGTAATATTATCCGTAAGGTAGATAAGAAGGAGCGATCCCCCGCCAGCAATCTTGGCGGGCAGTTGTTGCCGAGTCTCCGCTTGTGTACACATATATACGTTTAATTCGTCCCGCGCTTTGAAAAATCTAACGGTCATTTTGTATTTTCACTGTGTGGCGCAATAAACATATTACGTAACCAGCACGAGTTCTTTTTTTGCTTTCGGTCCGACACAGTGGTCACTTCGGCCGGATCATAAATTCGAATGTTCACCACTCCACCGCGAACAATGACGAAAACTCGTGCTACAAGAAGGAAGGAGTTGGAAGGCACGCAAGACCAGGGACAGTCAACGGCTCAGAAACACCCATATGAGGTTGAAAACAAACTAGATATAGAAAAAGACTCAAAGCCCAAGAGTTTGCCTGTTAAACCTTCGGCATCGTTGAAGTCTATACATTCAACATCATCGTCAGTACGTGCTCAGAAAAAAAAATTAGAGCTAGAAGCAGCCGAAGCAAAAGCCCGTATACAAATGAAGCTTATTGATAAAAAGCTTGAGGCTGATCTAGACGATTTGGAATACAGTTCACGCTCATCGAGGTCGCACACCAACGAGGAAGTTGAGAAGTGGTTGGAGCGCAGTCAACAGCCTGAACATCCTGCCCCCGAGAATGGATTTACAAAGGGTGGGCCAAGTGCGCCGGCAGCAGGTGACGCCGTTGCCGGTAACGATAATGGTACAGTGCAAATGTTGGCCAGCGCACTCAAGAATTTAGCCGCCGCCTCAACATCTCAGCAGAATAATTTATTGAGCTGTATATCCACACCGCAAGATTTACCAATGTTTAGTGTTGACCCTATGGACTGGTTACAATTCAAGTTGGCATACGAAGAATCCACACAGATATGTAACTTCAGCCCTAAAGAAAATTTATGGCGTCTACGAAAATGTCTTCGTGGACAAGCAAAAGAAGCAGTTACGGCTCTTCTTATCACAGCTTCATCACCTGATATAGTGATGTCAACTTTAGAGTTGCAGTTTAGTAATTCAGACATCATCATAACTAGAGTCATGCAGGATATAAGGAAGCTACAGCCCATATCACCTGATTACCATAAAGATATTGTGCCATTTTCTATTAAAGTAAAAAATTACGTCGCGGCTGTACGCGTATTAAACAGACACGAATATCTTCAAGATACAAGCGTCACTACAATAATATTAAGTAAGTTACCTACAGTACTTATTTCTATATGGGCAGACTATAGTTATGCATTTATTGCCGGCGGAGTCAAGGCGAAACTGGATATTCTGTCAGAGATTTTAAATGAAGAAGCCGTAAAAATTTCTACATCTTTGGTGCAGTTAATCAGCAATGTTAACAACATTAATAAATTTAAATATTCTGAACGCTCGCATAATACTTTGTATTTTGTTCACTATTCACTAAATAGTGAACAAAATAAAATCGCTGTGAAGTGTCAATACTGCAAAAAATCTCCGCATAATTAAACAGAATGTAAACAATTCAAACGGTCACTACGCAAGGACAGATGGCGGTATGTAAAACGTTACGGTATCTGCTACAAGTGTTTGGTATCGTGCCATAATAGGGATACGTGCCCGGCGCCGGTGTGTGACAACTGCGGACAAGCACATCATCGGTTGCTACACTATTCGGTAAACAAGGAACAAACTGTAAGTAACTGTGAAAATCTTAACTTAGTGCCTGTGTCTGAGAATGTAAGCCAATCCGAAACGATTACAAATATTAATACAAATTGTAAAGCGTTATTAAAAGTAGTCCCTGTAAAAATTCACGGTCCGAACGGAACAATTAGGGCAAGTGCGCTGTTGGACGACTGTTCGACGATATCGTTAATAAGCAGCGCGCTCGCGAAGCGCGTTGGACTCAGCGGCCAGCGCCAAACGATGCGCGTGAGTGGCGCGTTCGATTCTAGTGAATTAGTGTGTGAATCGACTGTAATGAACTTTAAGATATCTAATTGTAATGGCGATGTGTATACTTTAATTGCGCGTAGTGTAGATAAACTTAATTTGCCTAAATATAACAATTTTTCTAGAATTAATTGTAATCAATTTAAGCACCTTTGTAATATTAAAGATCAACTTTGTAATGTTTCTTCTGCACCTGAATTGTTGATAGGCCAGGATAATTGTAACTTATTATTGCCTTTAAATGTCATTGTAGGTAAGGCTAACGAACCATGTGCGACCCTCACTCCGCTCGGTTGGTGTGTGCATGGACGTGTACCTGCTCATTTGGCCTCTGAGATGACCGGTCATATTAATTTACATCTTGGTGAGGTCTTGGAAGCAGCTCAGGTGGAACAGCGCATGTTGGCGGAACTGCATGATGAGGTACGTCGATCCTTTAACTTAGAGTCGTTAAGGGTGTCACTACAGCCACGACAAAATAAAGAGGATGTCCAATCGTGGTCACATCTGGAACGGACAGCAACTCTGGTTGAAGGCAGATGGCATGTCGGCTTACCTTGGATCAATGAGAACAGTAAAATGCCTGAATCCTTCTCCAACGCCATGGTGAGGTTAAGTGGTGTCGAAAGGAAAATTAAATTAAATAGCGATTACGGGGAAAGGTATAAGGATAGGATGGCTCACCTGTTAAATAATGGATATGCTGAGGTAGTGTTCAATCCAGCAGCTGCTCAAAATAATCCCAGGACCTGGTATCTGCCCCATTTCGGAGTCGACAACCCTAATAAGAAAAATCTTCGTTTTTTCGAATTTTGCGCGTTAGTGGCCGTATAGATGCTGCCGCTGATTTATCTCTGGAAATCAAAAGACCTATCATATTAGACGGACGGCATTCCATATCGCGACTAATCGTTAAGCATTACCACAAGAAGGCAACGCACGGATTAAATAAGATGGTGGTAAACGAGCTAAAACAAAAATATTGGATCTTGAAGCTACGACCCACTGTACGTACCGTCGCGTTCAGTCGCGCGCATGCAAAAGGCTAAGCCTGAACCACCACGAATGAGTGACTTACCTCAGCCCAGATTGGACCACCATCAACGACCATTTACAAATTGTTGCGTTGATCTGTTTGGCCCACTCGATGTGACTATCGGACGAAGAAGAGAAAAGAGGTACGGAGTACTTTTCACTTGCCTCACCGTGCGTGCTGTTCACATAGAGGTGGTCAATTCTTTGACTACGGACTCTCTTATAATGGCATTAAGAAGGATGTCAGCACGTAGAGGTTGGCCCAAACATATTTTCTCTGACAATGGTACTAACCTCAGAGGTGCGAACACGGAGCTCTTAAAATCCATTAAGGAACTGGATGAGGTTGCATTGAAGGATCAAACACAAAACTTTAGCACAGAATGGACATTTATTCCACCTTCCAGTCCACACTGGGGTGGGGCTTGGGAGCGCCTTATACGGACTGTAAAAAATGCTCTAAAGGTCGTACTAAAGAAACGTGCACCTCGAGAAGAGGTCCTTATAACCTTGTTGGCTGAATTCAAAAACTTAGTAAACAGTCGACCGCTCACTCATGTCTCCGTAGAGCCAGGAAGTAATGAGAGCTTAACTCCCAACCATTTCCTGCTGGGAACGTCCTCCAATTTGCCCACAATTGGGGTTTATAACGATTCAGACATCTACCTCAGGAAACAGTGGCGTATCGCACAACCCCTGGCGGACAAGTTTTGGGAGCTATGGGTTAAGGAGTTTTTGCCCGAGCTGTTACCAAGACGTAAATGGAATCGCGAACAAAGGTCTTTACAAATTGGGGATCTAGTACTAGTCGTTAGTCCAAATGAGCAGCGTGGCGTATGGCAGCGCGGAGTGGTCGAAAGGGTGTTTCCTGGCAAAGATGGTAGGACTAGGGCGGTTCAAATAAAGACTCTGTCCGGGACTCTTGTTCGTCCAGCGACACGCGTCGCCAGAATACCCATGGAAGATGAGTGTCGCTGAGGCGACACTGGGGTGGGGCGTGTTGGCGACGCATTGTTTTTGTATGTAATATTTATTATTAATTTTATAATATGTTGTATCTTAGGTTAAGGTTTGTTTATATAGTATAATAACGGTTATTTTATAAATTATGTGTAGGTAATCTTGTATGTATTTGTAATATTATCCGTAAGGTAGATAAGAAGGAGCGATCCCCCGCCAGCAATCTTGGCGGGCAGTTGTTGCCGAGTCTCCGCTTGTGTGCACATATATACGTTTAATTCGTCCCGCGCTTTGAAAAATCTAACGGTCATTTTGTATTTTCACCGTGTGGCGCAATAAACATTTTAAGTAACCAGCACGAGTTCTTTTTCAGCTATCGGTCCGATACAACAAGGCTATTGATATTATGCTGGCAAACATTGTTATTAAGAGTAAAAGTATTATTATAAGTGTTTATTGTTTAATAGTAATAATATAACCAACTAAGAACTATGAGATTGTTTTATTTATTACACTCGTATCAGGTAAAAATGGTCTCCAGTTCTCTACACGCACCATACAAAACGTAATAGCTTTGAGCTGTTATTTTACGCCGATATTTTGTGCAAGCGTGGTCTTTTCCAGATTGTGCCGACCCACTCGTGCGACAACCATAATATAAATTAGCATGTCTCTAACACATATAAAAGTAATGTAAGCCTTTAGAAGTCCCATTACTAAACACAGGCCTCCCCCAAAGACTGCTGAATATTCAATTTCTGCGAATGAGAACTATAATTGGAAAAAGTGAAAAAAGTGCTCCGATGGCAGTTTGAACCTAAAAATAATATGTCTGCTTAGGCGCCTTGAGATACTGTCGTCATCGATTTCCTGGCTCAAGCTATCGTCAAAATCTACCAAAAACTTCACTATGTTATGTTACTTATCAACATATTGTAAAGCAGTTTTTAAACAAATAATTATAAAGGATAATTTATCATCACTTGACACTGGTAAAAGTACAAGAGTACGAGTCTATTATCAAATAAAAATTCCACACGGCTTTTGTTAAGCACAATAAAAATCTCCACAAAAAACATCTGACCACAATATACGATTTCGTCTGTAATCGATTACCCGTTAGTATAAACAAACCCTGTGCTCGTTTTGATTATTCAACCGATTTAAAAAATGGAGTAGGTTCTCATTTTGACTGTATTTTTTTATGTGTGTTACTTCAGAAGTTTTTTTTATTTGATAGATGGTGCTTCTCATGTTCTCTGATCTTCTATATAAATTTCATCAAGATCTGACCTGTTTTTGAGTTATCCTTAATAATGGGTATTTAATTTACTTCGACCACATTGATGATGTTCTCATTTTATTTATATGGAAGTCGGTTGTATATAATTTTACTTTTTTCTCATTTTTTATTTCATATATATTTACACACAAACAAATAAGAAGATGAGACATCATCCAGTAGGCCTGTTGTTATATAATATAAGAATAAAAGGTAGTACGAATAAAGTGTACTATTTTGTAATTATACCTATAACACAAAAGATTAAGCAGGAAAAATCTCCTGAAACCGTTTTGGATAATATGTCTACAGTTTACGGGGATTTTTTCCGTAGTAAAACTATGATTTGATCATCATCCTCTCATCTCAGATACCTGTATCGATCGACTTCCTGCATGTGTTACCAGGTTGTCACTCCATCTAGCGGGGACACCCTACAATTCGCCTTACGGTACGAGGCTGCCACTCGAGAACTTTTTTTCCTCATCGGTAGTCTGTTCTTCAAACTATATGGCCAGCCCATTGCCACTTCTGCTTACCAATCCGTTTGGCTATGGCGGTCACTCTGGTTCTACTGCAGATATCCCTATTTTAAAGATTATCACGCAAAGAAACCCCGAGCATAGCCCTCTCCATAGCTCGCTGAGCAACGAGAGTGAAGGACTACATCTCAGATCCATAAGTCATCATTTGAATAAGAATTGAATTAAGTCGAATGATCTCTCGGTCCAAGTTGGACTTACCTAGTCTGGCTATTTATCCCAGGTAAACATACTTGTCAAAACCTTCAAGCTTAGTGCTCCCAACAAGTACCGGCATAGGTGTGACGTCCATTACACATGATTTGGTTTTGTCCATGTTCATCTTAATACAGTACTAAGGTCCTCCAGTCATTCTTCCATAAGGACTATATCGTCGGCAAATCGAAGGTGAGTGATTTACGCCATTGAATTTTATACCGTATTCTTTCATGTCCTATAGATTTAAAAGTTCTTCCAGTACAGCTGTGAAGAGTTTCGGGGATGTATCATCGTACATCTGTCTTACATCTTTCTGCAGTTGGATGAGTTTTGTACTGTGGTTCTGTAAACGGATAGCTATCGTAATCCTACTTTTCAAATACTTCAGTACTTCGATATACCGACAGTCGACTTGGCTTTGGTGAAGGGACTGCAGGACCGTCGAAATATTGACGATATCAAAAGCTTTCTCATAATCCACATACACAAGGCAAAGCGATAGATTTTACTCCTCTGTCTTTTGTACAATTTGCCGAAGGGTATGAATATGGTATATGTTACTAAAACCTTTTCGGAAACCGGCTTGTTCGGGAGGTCAGAAGAGGAAGTCGTCGAGTCTGCGTGCGATAATCGTTAATGACTCTCGAAAACAGCACGTAGACACGGCTCAGAAGGTAAATCTGTAGTTCTTCAAGAGAGCGTTGTCGCCTTTCTAGAAGAACAATACCACCACACTTCTGCTCTACGTCTCCGAAGTAATGCCACGATGGATAACGGAATTAAAGAGCTTCTGAAGGACTTCAAGTACTGGTTTTCCACTAGACCTTCAGAAGCTCTGCTGTAATTCCATTCTCGCCTGGGGCCTTGCTGTTATTAAGGTGCTGGAGAGACATTTTAATCTCGCTCAGACTGACGTCCTGAATATCATCGGAATAGCTTCGGATAAGATTTGTTCTTGGATTGTTACTCACACTTGCATGTGACTCCAACGATCATGTGTGAAGCTGCCCATATAGCCTTTAAATCTCACTCAAAGTCTCAGTTGTCGTGAACGATGCTGCCATACTCGGTCTTCAGCTTCGACAGTTGGCTCTTTCCGATAGACAGATCTCAGGCAAAGACTTTGTAGACTTCTATACAAGCTGTATTGAAGTTGCGTAAGTCCCACCGCATGCATTTGGTGACCTGTCTGTTCAGTTGCCTGTATGTTGTCTAATATGCTGAAGACCGCAGCTTCATTTCCCGTATAACAGCTATGAGATTATAAGTGTGGTGTGCTACCACGTGGACAACATACGTGGTAGAGCCATGCTGCAGCTACATTAGAAGTATAGTAGTAGCATGAATGGGTCGGCACGACCGGGGAACGGGAACGACCTTGCTCTCACAGAATACCAGCGTAAAGTAGCAGTTTAACACTGCTGTGTTTCGTATGGTGAGTGTAAGGAACCGGAGACCCTTTTTACTGTAGCAAAGTCATTCCATCTTGGTCGTCACAAACGTTTTAGGTCAAGAAAATGTCCACCGCGCTGCCCTAGTGTATGTTAGTAAACTTTACATGTCTTAGATTTTTTTCTTATTTTGCAGACATGCAGTTTTCCTTGACCACCAAGATGGTGGTAAATCAGCACTTAACATTGCAATAAACAATTTCATTGATGCCGGCAGGGATCGAACCCGGGTTGCCCGTGTACTATGAAATTTACCATCTGAGCAACCACCATCCTGATTAGAATCACCGGGTAATCGTTAGCATCATCATTACAGCCCTTCACAAGTCAACTGCTAAACATGGGCCTCCCCCAAGGAATGCCAAAAAGCGCGGTCCTGAGCCACCTGCATCCATTGACTTCCTGCATGTTTCACCAGGTCGTCACTCCATCTAAATCACCAGAATAAAAATAGTATAATTATCAGGATCATCACAGCTCATGCCCAATGTGTGTTGTTCAATTTTTTTTTAAATTCTGTTATTATTTTCAATTTTTTTATATAAAAATGAAGTGGTGAATGAACTGACAGTCAACACGATGTTAAGTGGCTGCTGCAGTCTATACACACCTGCAGCCAACTTCAAACAAAGAAAGCTACAGATGCGGAAAATTGGGACTCGGCAAATATGTAACGTGATATTGCCGCTACTATTTAGAAAAGCATTCTTACTTTTAAAAAAGGACGTTTTGGTGTTTTGAAATTCAGGGACTTTACACTACCTATGGTCATAGAGGGCACTTGGCCAAGGATGCTGTAAAGTGCTCGAAATTTTGGAAAATAAAGAAAGTTAAAATGAAGCGCAATAAAATCTGCAAACTTAGTTTCATTCAATGTGAAGTATTCGCATAAATAAAATAAATCATTATGTGGACATTGACCTTCATTATACACTCAGTAGTGAAATACTTTATCTCAGACGAAGTACAGTGTGTGTTCGTTTGTCAACCTTATTCTATAAAAAAATAACTGTTGAGGATAAGTAAATATTGTCTACGGCCCTTTTACGTTTTTTTATATCTTTTAAGTTGTTGTCATGGTTACGAAAAAATAACAAGAAAAATGTAAGATAGTTTTTCGTAATAAGTATATTTTTGTTAGAAGAATAAATGTTTCAAGTCTAAGAAATCTTCTTATTTCAATGTGAGGAGCTACATACAACGGTCATACAGAAACTCCCCACATAATGGCGACCGTGAAAGCGGATAGACCTGGACAACCTGAACTCGACGCTATGAGGCGTAAAAGGGCATACACACGTCGAGTATTCATCAAGTCAGTGCGAGAGATAGAGGAGTCGAATGATATTGAGCAGATGACTGTCGAATTTCAGTATCTTGTAGAGAAATCGGAAGAGTAAAAATCTTTTGACAGTCAAATAAAAAATATGACGATCGATTCTTGCACGGATGAGCAATTTGATGAAGAATGTGACGAATGCGAATCGTATTTAAGGAAGTATTATGCAGTAAAAGTTCAGATTGAAAAATTACGAAAGGAATGTGATAGAGCAAATACATCTTCAGCGGCTACTGACGGATCTCATCAGAAGAGAAACATAAGGCTATCGAATATCGAGCTCATAAAATTCGATGACAATCCGAAGACGTGGTTATCTTTCTGGGGACAGTTCAAAAAGATACACGAGGACGAGACTCTTGAACCAGAAGATAAGTTCCAGTATCTCATACAGGCTATGAAGGAGGGGTCCAAAAGCAGAGAGCTCGTAACTAGCTACCCTACGTCTGGCAAGAATTACCCAAGAGCGCTGGAGCAGCTACAGGGACAATTTGCTCGAGAAGGTATCCTCATCGAGACGTATGTGAGAGAGCTGCTAGGTCTCGTATTATGTCAGGCTAAGGGACAAAATATAGATATAAGATCCCTTTACGACCAGTTAATGACCCATTTGCACGCTTTAGAGTCACTCAAAGTAACAACGGAAAAGTACGGAGCGGTGTTGTATCCATTAGTCGAATCAGCTTTACCTGAAAATATTTTAATTGTTTGGAATCGAACTAGAATTGTAAACGATGTTTGTCAATTAACGCAACTTTTAGAGTTCTTAAAACGAGAAGCCGAGGCTGAGGAACACATTTAATTGACGCGCGCTAACTTTAATACTTATAGTTTTTCCAGCAGTGTTGATATGCCGCCGACAGCAGCTTGCATCGTTTCGAAAGAGGAGACAAGTTCCAGTAAAACAGGTAATGACTTTTGCTATTTTTGTGATAATACGTCTCATTCGATTCTTCAATGTAATATAGGGCTCAAAATGTCTTTAGATGAATAGAGAGCCGCCGTCAAAGATAAGAGGGGTTGTTTAATTTGTTTACGTAAAGGTCACGTAGCTAAGCACTGCAAGACGTTTTTAAAATGTATGGCCTGCGGTAAACGTCATGTAGTGATATTTTGTCCGGACCTTCATAGGGATAAACAAAAGGAACCCAAAGAAGCGACAGCACTTTTCTCTAGGAAAGGCGGAAATATTTTATTACAGACTTTGATTTTAGAGGTTCCACATGAGGGTAAAAAGAAGAAAATACGTGCTCTGTGTGATACTGGATCGCAAAGGTCGTATATTAGGAAAAACGTAGTAAAAGAGTTAGGCCTTAAGGTAGTAGGTATAGAGAATTTAGGTTATTCACTATTTAGTGGTGTTACTAAGCCAGCAGAAAACCACAGTCTTGTCGAAGTGAATGTAAGTAGTCTAGATTCTTCTTTCTCTACAAAATTCATTGCTCTTGAACTCGACGACGACATCTTCCCAAAGCAGACGATCCCAAGCTAAGGTCAAAGTTAAAGTCACTGAATATAAGTATTGACGACAGTGACTGTGACCTTAGCGATGTAAATATGTTAATAGGAGCTGATTATTTAGGAGTAATTTGTACGGGCACTATTGTACAATTAGATGGGCCTTTAGTAGCTATTAAGACGAGGCTAGGATGGACATTACAGGGCCCTAACTTTTACAGTGCTGCACAATGCTCAATGACTTTTAATTGTCACGCTCAGAGTAAACTTTCAGATTTGTTGGATTTAGAGATATTAGGGATTTCAGAGCCACATGAACAGATGTGCAAAGATAGGAAAAAAGAAGAGGTAATGAGTCAATTTGAGCAGAATATTAGTTTTAAAGACAATTGTTACCAAGTAGGGTTTTTGTGGAAAGATGGTTACCCCGAAATAGGCAGTAATTACAATGTAGCTTATAAAAGACTTTTAACGACGGCCAGGAAGTTAGAGAGGACTGGTCATTTGCTAAGTTATAACGACGTTTTTCAGAATTGGTTAGACGAAGATATTATAGAACATACTGAAAACAATATAGCAGAAGGACACTTTATTCCTCATCACGCAGTCATTAAGATGTCTAGGACTACAACGAAGATACGTCCAGTATTCGACGCATCGTGTAAAGATGCGCAAGGATTGTCTTTGAATAACTGCATCGAATCGGGTACCAATCTTATAGAACTAATCCCTAAATTATTGATGAACTTTAGGAAAGGTACGTACGGCGTCACGTCGGATATAAAGCAAGCCTTTCTGCAAATTTTAGTTTCAGAGAAAGATAGAGAGTATTTAAAGTTTCTGTGGTGGGAGAATCCGTTGACCAAAGAGAAGATAGTCACTTTCAGACATAAGAGAGTAGTATTTGGGGTGACTTGTAGTCCGTTTCTCTTGGCGGCTACGATTAATTATCACTTAGGCAATTTTGAAGGAATGTACGGTCAGACAGTTGAAATTTTGAAACACTCCTTTTATGTTGATAATTGTGTAGCTAGTTTTGATACAAAAGAGGCTTTATTTACTTTTATAGACGAAGCTAAGGAAGTTATGCTAAAGGGGGGTTTTGATTTACGATGTTGGGTTACCGCTCCTATTAGAGTAGATAACACTGTCCAGACTCAATCTGTATTAGGAGTGCTATGGAATACTCTTACGGACGAATTACAGTGTAGTTTCCGTCTTATTAGCACTATACCAGATCGGGTCACGAAGAGAGATCTTTTGTCATTAACTCAGCAGATATTTGACCCTATTGGATTTCTTGCACCTGTTACCCTAGTGCCTAAACTAATAGTACAAAAGGCTTGGATAGATAGTACAGGTTGGGATCAAGCTATCAGCAACGAGTTATCGAAGGAATTTAAGAGTTGGCTAAATCATGTTCATCTGATAAATGATTGCAAGTTGCCGAGACGCTTATCAGAGGAGAGGTTGACGAACTGTAACAAAAGTTTACATTTGTTTTGTGACGCATCTATTAATGCTTATGCAGGTTGTGTCTTTCTTCGGACCGAATGCAAAAGTAAAGTTACGATTAGGCTGGTTATGGCCAAAAGTAGAGTAGCGCCAATTAAAAGATCAATAACTTTACCTAGATTGGAGCTAATGGGAGCGCTTATTGCATCGCGGCTTGCAAATGAGATAAGTAGAACGTTGTTTACCGACGACACCTGCCCGTTATATTGTTGGACAGACTCCGCGGTTGTGTTAGCCTGGATCCAAAGACAGTGTTCTTGGAAGCCGTTTGTGAGCAATAGGGTAAGTGAAATTTGTGCTCACACTAAGAAGGAACATTGGCGGCACGTACCGGGCCACTGCAATCCGGCAGACCTACTGTCACGTGGCTGTAATATGAAGACATTAATGGACAGTCACTGGTGGGATGGCCCTGCTTGGCTATTATCTGACCAAGAACTGTGGCCTCAGTCTAATCACATCGCAGTAGATGAGAACGCTGTTTCCATAGAAGCAAAGAAGGAGGTACTTGTAAATACTAATGTAGATACTGAACATTTTAGCGAGAAGCTTTTATACTTTTCTAAGTATTCAAGAATTGTACGTGTAGTAGCTTGGATATTCCAATGGAGAAGGCGACGAATGTTTAGTATAGCTTATATAAGCAATGATGAATTCGAAGAAGCTGAGAATATACTTATAAGACTTATTCAGGGTGAACATTATGTAAATAGAACTAAATTGAATAAGAAACTGTGCATACATTTAGATAGTAATAGTATTATGAGAGTAAAGACTAGATTAGGTTTAGGAAATTATGATAAAGATTTTTCGAGTCCCATATTATTACCAGGGAAAAATGTTATTGTGAGGCGACTCGTTGAAGAGAAACATATATACTTAAAGCACATTGGATCACATACTTTAATGTCAGAGCTGAGAAACAGATTCTGGATTACAAGTGTGAGATGGCTTTGTAAGGATATAGTTAAGAAATGCATAATTTGTGGCAAAAGGGCAAACATTATGATACACCGGAGACACCACTCCCTCTTGAACGGATTCAAGGCACGGCAGCGTTTCAAATGACAGGTATAGATCTGGCCGGGCCGTTGTATTTACGTAATCAAGAGAAGTGTTGGGTGGTTTTATTTACATGCGCGACATTTAGGGCTGTGCATTTTGAGATGGTAGACTCATTGTCCACAAATAGTTTTATTATGAGTCTTCGTAGATTTATTGCTCGAAGAGGTCGTATAGACGACATTTTCACGGACAACGGAACAAATTTTCAAGGGACTGCCAATTTACTGAAGGATATTAATTGGCAGGAGGTTGAAAGTGTGACGGCAGTCCATTCTATAAAGTGGCGTTTTATTCCACCTAGAACTCCTTGGTGGGGAGGTTGGTGGGAGAGGCTCATTAGAGTATTAAAGGAGATGTTGCGAAGAATATTGGGGCGTCAGCGATTGACTTGGGTAGAGTTGGACACAGTCTCGTGTGATTGTGAAGCTGTCATTAATAGTCGGCCACTAACATATGTCTCGACTTGTACCGACGATTTGCGGCCACTTACACCTATGTTATTTCTACATGGCTTACCTTCTAATGATACTTCTGATTTAGATTATGTAGATAATATGAATTTAAATGTAAGATACAAATATTTACAAAAGTTGAGAGAAGATTTCAGAGTTCGATTTCGTAAGGAGTATTTGGCTTTACTTACAGCTAGATGGAAGGAGAAGACAAAAGAAATGAAGAAAGAAGATATAGTTCTAGTAGAGACAGACGCGAAAAGGCTATTTTGGCCCTTAGGGTTAATCATGGAACTAGTTACCGGGGCTGATGGTGTTACTCGTTTGGCTAGAGTCAAGACTCAAAAAGGTGAAACTTTAAGACCATGTCAGAGATTGTATCCGCTCGAGATTTCAAATGATTCTGACTTCTTGCAACGAGCTGAAGTAACGATAGAGGATGAGAAGTTATCAGTAAGTTCAGATAGTCCCGACTTACCCTCCTTGGTTACAGGTGGCGCGAAGGTGACGAAAACAACGCGGTGCGGTCGAAATGTGAAATTGCCTGCTCGGTACTTATGAATTACATTTGGTTTTATGGTTTTCCTTAGTATGTTGAGTTGCGTTAATTGGTTACCATTTTTTTTCGGGTCTGGAGTGTGTTGAGGATAAATAAATATTGTCTACGGCCCTTTTAGGTTTTTTTATATCTTGTAAGTTGTTGTCATGGTTACGAAAAAATAAAAAGAAAAATGTAAGACTAGTTTTTCGTAATAAGTATATTTTTGTTAGAAGATTAAATGTTTCAAGTCTAAGAAATCTTCTTATTTCAATGTGAGGAGCTACATACAACGGTCATACAGAAACTCCCCACAATAACCTTTTGTCACCACGACAAAGGCAATATATGACAGGTGTTTCAGGACGAGGTTTAATAGCTTTCGGAGGATTTTGCCTTGCTGAACATTGGTCTGTCCCGAAGGTCTTGGGAAAACGATGATTGATGATCAATAAAAAATAATATATAACCTTAAAAATACCTAAATATAAAAGACATTGAAGTTTTATAAATATGCCTTGCGATTATTAATCATCATCATCATCATCATTACAGCCTTTCATAAGTCCACTGCTGAGCATAGGCATCCCCCAAGGAATGCCACAAAGCACGGTCCTGAGCCACCTGCATCCATCGACTTCCTGCATGTCTTACCAGGTCGTCACTCCATCTCGTGGGGGGTCGCCCTACACTTCGCCTGCCGGTACGAGGCCGCCACTCAAGAACCTTTCTTCCCCATCGGTTGTCGGTTCTTCGAGCTATATGGCCGGCCCACTGCCACTTCAGCTTACTAATCCGTTGGGCTATGTCGGTTACTCTGGTTCTACTGCGGATATCCTCATTTCTAAGCATCACGCTATCACGCAAAGAAACTCCGAGCATAGCCCTCTCAATAGCTTGCTGAGCGACCTTGAGCTTCCTCATACGGCTAGCAGTGAAGAACCATGTCTCAGATCCGTAAGTCATCACTGGCAACACGCACTGGTTGTATAATTTCATTTCAAGGTTTTGAGGAATATCTGACGAGAAGATGTGTCGTAGTTTCCCGAACGCTGCCCAGCCGAGTTGAATCCGTCGATTGACCTCTCGGTCGAAGTTGGACTTACCAAGTCGGAGTATTTGTCCCAGGTAAACATACCCGTCAACAACTTCGAGCTAAGTGCTCCCAACAACTACCGGCATAGGTGTGACATGGACATTAAACATAATTTTTGTTTTGTCCATGTTCATCTTAATACCTATCCGTTGGGAGACACTATTGAGGTCATTGAGCATGGTGCTTAGATCCTCCAGCAATTCTGCCATAAGGACTATATCGTTAGCAAATCGAAGGTGAGTGATGTACTCGCTATTGATGTTAATACCGTATCCTTTCCAGTCCAGAAGCTTGAAAACGTCTTCCAATGCAGCGGCGAAGAGTTTCGGGGATATAACGTCACCCTGTCTTACACCTCTCTGCAATTGGATAGGTTTCGTACTCTGGTTCTATACTCGGATAGCCGTCGTAGCCCTACTGTACCAACACTTCATCACTTCGATATACCGACAGTCAACTTGGCACCGCTGAACGGACTGCAGCTTCGCCCAAATTTCGACGGAATCAAAGGCTTTCTCATAGTCCACATACGCCAGGCATAGTGGGAAATTGTACTCCTCGGACTTCTGTATAATTTGCCGAAGAGTATGTATGGGGTCTATGGTGCTAAAGCCCTTTCGGAAACCGGCTTGTTCGGGAGGCTGGAAGTCGTCAAGTCTGCGCGCGAGAGGTTTCGTAATGACTCTCGAAAACAGCACGTAGACTCGGCTCTGAAGGGAAATCGGTCTGTAGTTCTTCAAGAGAGCGTTGTCACCTTTCTTGAAGAACAAAACCACCGCACTTTTGTTCCACGCCTCCGGTGTAATACCACCATGGAGGACGGAATTAAAGAGCTTCTGAAGGACTTCAAGTACCGGTTTTCCACCCGCTTTCAGTAGCTCCACTGGAATTTCATCCTCGCCTGGGTCCTTGCCGTATTTAAGATGCTGGAGACCATTCCAATCTCGCTCAGACTGACGTCCGGGATATCTTCGGCATAGTGTCGGATAAGACTCGCTCTTCGATGACGTGTACAGCTGCCCATAGAACCTCCCAATCTCACTCAAAATCTCAGGTGCCCCGGAAACGATGCTGCCACACTCGGTCTTCAGCTTTGACAGTTGGCTCTTTCTGGCAGACAGATCTCTGGCAAAGACTTTGGAGCCTTGATTCCGCTCGATCGCTTCTTCAATACAAGCTGTATTAAAGTTACGTAAGTCCCGACACATACATTTGGAGAGCTGTCTGTTTAGTTGCCTGTATGCTGTCAAATCTATTGAAGAATGTAGCTTCATCTACCATCTAACAGCCATGATATTAGGAGTGTCATCGGAGAGTTTTTGTGTTCTTCTGCGGCGGATCTTGCAGAACTTTGCTCCGACCGCAAGGACAATTACCACGAGCTTGTCATTCATATCATCCACTTCATTGCAGTTTTCTTGGCACTGAAAACGGTTTTGTAACTCGAGCTGAAAGGTTTCAGGACCCTTGGGTTTCGTTGTCCTATTCCAAATTTGCCTACTTTCAGCTCACCGTTCTCTCTTGTGCCTAGTTTTGCATTGAAGTCTCCCATTAACACCGTATATTGGGTTTTGGAGGAATGCATGGCTCTAGAGATAGCCTCATACATTTCTTCCACCTCCTCATCGGGGTGTGCCGAGGTTGGTGCGTAAACCTGTATGACCTTCAGCGAATACCGTTTGGTGATTCTTAGTATAAGGTACGCAACCCTCGTCGACAGACTCTCGATCTTTACAGCAGCAGTTGTTAACGAGAGACTTGTGGACGATAAATCCGACACCTCCTTGGGATAGATGGTTGCCCTCCCGGTGATAGAGCAAGTTGCCGGATTCGAGGATTACCGTGTCCTCCCCCTCTCTTCGAACTTCAGATAATCCTATAAAATGCCAGCGTAACTTGTCTATCTCTTTTTCCAGCTCCACGATCTTCTCGTCAGTCCTCAGGGTGCGTGCGTTGTATGTTGCCAGGTCGAGTCGTCTAAGGTGGCAACCGAACATCCACCGGAGATTCTTAGCACCCCCTGCCCCGCCGTTACCATGGTCGCCACCGTAGCCAGGAATAGCGGGGCCGCCGGGGACTGGGGGCCGTCTCTTTGTTGCTCTCATTGATTGGGGGGGTATTTGCCATAGTTGCCACGCTTGGCGAGCGGGTTGGCAACCGCAGTTTTTTATTGTTTTTTTGCCGTTACCAGGAAGATGCTGCTGCCTATCTCCTGCCTGTTTCCCTTTGTCGCCTTTTACGACACCCACGGGAAGATATGGTGTAGTGGATATTCTTGACCGCCACTACACGGATATTGCGATTATTAATATAGAAACTGAATTCGACTGTGGTAATTGTGTTGATGAATTATCACCCTAAAAAAATAATAACATTTTTAAGACTATAATTTAAAAAAGGATGGCTACGCCGAGAATGTACAAACAGCTTTGTCCCGTAAGATTTCAATTAAAATTTTATTTACGTCTATTGTATTTTGGAGCTTTCTAATTAAAACCGCAATACCCATTGGGCTGTATAAGGGTAACAGTCTGCCAAATTCCTATGTCTATAATTTTGATTACAAAACATGCTTCCGTTTTTCAATTACTCTTTTATTTTTAAATTAATTTTAATGACAATTTAAGTAATAAAAGGTGGATTCTGTTGGGGTTTTTTCTGCGGTATCTTTACCAATTTTCATAGGAACTGCATTTTGCGTCAATGATGGTGTCCACGACATTTTCTGCCACCGGGACGGTGCCACTTAGGAATGAGGTGAACATTAGGAATGACAATCCATGACGGGAAAAGATAATTTGTTGGGGAAATGTAATAGTTAATTTTTTTGTGCAAATTTTTTTTATATTTTACAATAATTACTTTAAAGTAGATAAATCAAAATACGAATCTTCCTAATTATAAAATATTTAAAAAGATACAGTGTGCGAAAACATTTAAGAGCAACCCACTTTGGCATTGTTTGTTTAGGTATTTATTTACTTTAGAAACTTTACTTCAAAACTAATTTAATTAAAAAGGCAATTTCTCAATTTCATTGACATGTCTAAGAAATTACTTCTCAGTCCCAACTAGCAACATCTGGTGAGCGAAAGATTATTATCCCTAATCATGTTCATTCATTAACTTAAAATCATTACAATGTTAAATCTTAAAAAAATTATAACATCACCATTACCCATATAGTCCTGTGGATGTCGTAAAAGGCGCCCACGTAAAACTGGAATAGGAAATGGACAGCTGCATCTTCCTGATTGGAACTCAAAAAAAATAGCCTGCAATAAATTACATTTACCTATGGCAAGATCACGCCTATAAGCCAGTTTATGGGGGAGTCGGAATGACGGTCCCAGTACCAGACGTAAACACCTTCCCTTCACCTGCCGTCACGGGTCTGGGTGTTTACCCCTTGCGTTAACAAGTGAGTCATCCGCCATCGAACGGAAACCACAGAACTTTTTGGCATATCCAATAGATTTTTCTTTCAACACATACGTGGTAGAGCCACGTGTAACTATGTAGTAGTTCGAATGGGTCAGCTGGACTGGAAAAGGACCGCGCACTCACAAAATACTAGCGTGAAATAGCAGGTTCGTAATGCTGCTCTGTTTCATATGGTAATTGTTGGGAACCGTATATCGTTTGTACTGGAAACGAGGCCTTCCATATTTATCCTCCGGGGTGAAAACACATCTGCACTTTGATTATTAGTCGCGGATAGATGTAGATGTATATAGGCCTCAGCAGTCACTTACCACCAGCTGGAGTGTGTGATCGTTTTTCATCCTTATTATTTAATTAAAAAACACTGTCCTGGGAATATCCAGCAAGAAACACAGTGGGACTGTTTTTATACAATAAGTTACAATATAATATGTTGTACATTTGAGTACGAAAACATTTACAAACAACATGGTAGAGGTCACC